CGTTATAAGGGTAAGCATTCGAGAGCTCGCTTTTCACCTCACTAAGTCGAGCGGTGTCGGAGATATTTTGCACAATAATTTTCCCTACACGTATAACACCTTGGTGCACCTCCGTTGCAACAGAGTTTATGAGGTTTCAAGTGGATGTCAGCGGTGAGAACGAGTTACTACAACATCGATGTGCTGGTCAGATGACAGCTTCGAGACCATGTTAATTCCTGGTCAGAGAAAACATTCCATCTACCTTTAAAAGGCTGTCAGTTTCTGGGCTTAGTCCTGTGCTTACACTGCTGGTAAGCGGAATTATATTGTTCAACTTAGTCTTCATGTCAGTGGTTGCAAATGAGTAAGCTTCGGTGTCTCGCTTGCTAGCTGCACTGTGTTTGTGGATGTTTTCAATAACATGGTTCATTAAGCAAGAAGGTGAAAGGAATGTGGTACGGGGAGCTAAATTGTTTGGGGGAACTAAGGGAGATGTGGTGATAATGTCCTTAGGTTCGAAAGCTCAACCCATAAATATGCGTCTGGATCTTTTTTAGAACCCTTATTCGCAAAATGGAGGCAACGCTTGATTTGGTTTACTGTCGTAATCAAAATCACCTGGCAAGGAGTTACAAAGTTGTTTTCGCTTTCAGACTGAAGAGCCTGGGTCAGCAAGTTGTATGAAATATATGTTATTATTGAATTGTCAAACATGTCAGCAAACACCCAAAGTAGCAGCTAAGTAGGTGGAGACTGTGGACTACTCCAAAGTATACCGCTATCTAACTAGGACGTAGTCCTTGGCTTTTAAACTTTAAGAATTACTGACAACGACCTCACAGCAGGTTTCAACTTAACAGTAAGAAAATGACTTTGAGAAACAAGCTATGAATGCTAAGTTCAGTCTACAATAACCATGCAGAAAAGTAACAAAAGCTTCGTCCTACCACAACACGATGAATACAAGAAGCGCAATTACATTTACTGACTTATCTAAGTTCATGGAAGAGTGCTTTGATATTGTGTGTACGAGGTATGAAAAACTCTCAGTGAATCTACAAACCGATAAGCGAGTTAAGCTGGACCAGAGGGTAAAAAACCAATTTGGATGTGAAGAAGAGTGTCACTGCTTACAGTGAAAATATTAGCTCCGGAGACAAAGCAAACGTAAAGTGCTCTGTCTGTAGGGTAAATCACTACCCTGACCAGCGTTAAACTCTTCATTCTGTAGGGACAGAAATGAGGATAGATGTGCTGGAGGGAATAAACCGCGTCACCTTTACTTGAAAGCTAGTCAGGTGGTCAGGGGTTATAAGTATCCATGCAGATGCACTGCTGAAAGTTGTGGGCGAAAACATCATCAGCCACTGCGTATACCTTCTAAAGATAGATTCACATCAAAAGTGTCAACTCACTACGCCCAAGGACCGAAATTAAAAAGCACGATAGAATGCCTCATAGACAACCAAAAGGTAATCACAACAGTAGTTCTGGTAACATTGTGTTTTAGAAGTCGTTCTCGGTAACCTTATCGTTCCTCAACGGTGGTCCAGATCCGACCCTAATTCTAAAAGATTTTGCCGACGAACAGGAACTCCCTGGGAAAGAATCCCGAATTCACTTGCCAGCGATGAATGAGGAGAACGCTATAGCCTCTTCAGTCTTTGAGTATGGCATACGATCATGGGATTCTAGTGCTGAGATAGTCGTAGACCGGGCGTACGCAGTAAAAGCTTATGAGTTTGACGCATACTTCTCTGCCAGCAACCACTTGAACACTGGCCACATCTTAGACATCTGAAGCTTGCACCGGGTGTTAACACAAATGTTGATTTGTTGATTGGGTGTGCTGTTCCTGAAGTCCATTGAGTCCTTGAACAGAGAACACAGAAGATTGAAAAGCTGAATGCTACTCTTAGTGTACCCGGCCAGATAATGATGGGACCATCAAGCACTACTGATGATCATGGTGAGTGGATAAGCTGCATTCAACTCGTAGACACGAAATAGCCTTCACATGTTCTACCGACAAGAACTGTTAAGTAAAGGAAGTGCCTGCTGTTACGATGTGTCAGTGGAAGACAGGATTGCCCTCTCTACTATACAAAAGTCCGCTAATTTCAGGAATGGACACTACGAAACTTCTTTACCACAGGTAATCAACTGTCTATCTTTGCTGAACAGTAAATCATATGCCCTGTTACGTCCCCGTTGTATATTCAAGCGTCTACTGTCATCAGTGAATTTGCTCAGGCCCTATACACCAGCGATGCAAGAACGTCTGGATCGAGGCTTCTCCGAAGTAGATGTTCTTCAAGATCCCAAAGCTGATGTACGGTATTTCCTGAATCCTTCTTTTTCGCCCTACTAGGCCTCAGAAAGCTAAACCTTCTTTCGACTGTGCTGCCAAACTCAAAGCTCAATTCTTGAACAAAAGATTACTGCTGGACCCTGAGGTAACCAGTTCGTTAGTCGGTATATTTCTGAGATTCATACGGCAGAAAAGGCTGTAGTGGCTGAAGTTCATGCACCCAAAGACGTACAGACATCTTACGCTTTCTATAGTGGACATCAAGTGGCGTTTACCGTGCACCACAAGAGTCTCAATGACAGTCTGCTTATCTGGTACAACTTCATCATCCAGCTGCCCATCATTCTTACTTGATCACACTACAAAAGACAATGGATGCAATTTCGACTACGATGCTATGAAGTCAACAACTCAGTGCCCCTGTATGGATGAGTGTTTGATTATTAAGCTGGATATGAAACCAGCCCATTGAGTAGCTAAACAGTTGTGGTATATGCTATCAAGGATAGGCCTTATTCTGACAGGGTGGTTCATTATTTATTCTGCGTTGTTTCCTTTGCTACCCACCTTTAGTTGTGTTGTACCATCTATCCAATTTGACCATCGCGAGAACACTACACAAAGAGATCTTGTATCAGGTTGGTGTTTTCAAGACGACAACTCCGACTTCACAGCCATTCGATGAATGATGCATTTACCCTGAGAAAAACACTCTCCATTGGTGCGACTATATACGATCCATGGGATATATCGCTCCAGTCATACTACCAGCCAAACTTGTCTTCCAAAATTTATGCGAACGAAAGTTGAACTGGGGTGCAGCAATTGTCGGAGACGAACTATAGGCATGAACGAAATGGATAGAATCATTGCGGCATCTAGGACATGTCTTACTTAGCGGGTCAACGAATACGTCTCAAGCTGGTAAGATTGACCTTCTTATATCCAGTGGGGCTCAGAATGATGTATATGGAGCAGATGCATTATTGCCGGTGACTAACAGGCTTGATGAAGAAGGTCGCATTCGATATTCCCCAAAGCTGGAGTCCACGTATTCGTACAATAAGTATCCCTTCTCTTTAACAAGCTGCTGTATTAACAGCAAAAATCCTACGGATGACACGAAATGAGCGACGATAACTATATCCAGTGTGACCCAATGGACCGACTCCTAGCTTGTTCTTCGAGATGCTAATAATGCTTCGAAGAGGTTTCCAGATTTCTCTGCTTATAGGGTGGCACGTATCCAAAGGTAATGTGAACCGCACGATTAGCACCCCACTGACTCTACAAACAACCCAAGCGATGTGCCGTTTCGAGATTTCATTGCGAGAGAAACGAGAAAGCTGAATCGATGGTTCAACGTTCCAACCATCCTACTACAAGACGAACCTAAGTGGTCACAACTCAAGACTCAAGATATCAGGGGTTGAGAAAAACGAGCATCCGATAGACATTCAAACTTTTTCTCTGTTCTGCTTTCCATGGAACAGCTCATGGAATAAACTGCAACGTGAGCGTGCATGGCTGATACAGTTGAAGCTGTACGGGCTTGGTGTAGCCAAGGAGGGACTTGGTGGTTTGGGACGTAAAGCAACGCTGTGAACAACAAAAGGCTCTGTTCAACAGAATGCAGGGCAACTATGTAAATATGGGGGGGGAGACTGAAGGACCCCCGACTCATCACATCCATGTGCAAGACATCCACTCGACATGAGTGACTTAGGATCATTCACCACAGCGGGGATTGTAACATTTCTCATGTTATCTATCCGATTACCTACGAGTTATTGATGTTTATGTTCGCAGCTTCTTGTTTCCCTCTGATTGGCTATCCCTTGGTGTCCAGGCACTTGCCGTTGTCTGACTGGTGGAAGTTGTGAGCTGTCGATCGACCGTACCAAACACGTCATTGCACTTTCCGTTACTCTGTAGTTTACACGTTATTTTCTGCTAAATCGCCCCTAATATGAGTGAAAAACTTTGTACGCTAATTTTCATTTAACACAGAAGCTGTGATGAACGATACCAGAATACTAGATAGTCTCCTGACTTTATTCGAATTTAGGGTGAGTCTATTTAAGTGCATCCAACATGATGAAATGTATACATTTTCTTTTCGAAGGGCGACTAGGTCTATTTCCGTCACATTTAGGTCACAAAATAGGTCACACAATTATAAAAGCCACGTGTTCTGAGCAGGAAAATAGGCATTGATGAGTGTATTTTTTTGAATTTTACTGAGTAGATTATTCATAAGCTAACGATCGAAGACTTCGTGTAGAATCCCAGTGTACTTGCAGAAAGATAAACGACTGGGTATAGTTGCCATGAAAAGTTGTAGCAGTTTCTTTGATGAATACCATTCGAGAAGAAGTAGATCTTATCAGCTATAACTTCTTTATAAATTAAGGGGAACTATTAATTTGTCATCCTTATCACTGAAGTCTCAACATAGTGCTTATATTCACTTATGTGCTCTGGTGAAATGTAAGTTGTTTTGAAGATCAAGTTGCTGATAACAACATTTTAGTTAAAACTCTCACTCTGAACATATTGAGAATGCATACACATTAATTTGTTTATCTGTAGCAAAAGCTATTAGCGGGCGCGTGTTGCCTTTCCATCCGACCAGGTAGTGCTTGCATTCCGTTGGTTTCAACCTGTTCTGTACTTGCCTTCTTTTGTCATTTCTACACGAGAAAACATGTCTGCTTTTGAAGATGATGAATTTGCTACAGGCGAGTCTGGAGCCTCCAAAACAGAGCCTAAGCAGTGCAGCTCGTTGAGAAAGGGTGGACATGTCTTGATGAAAGATCGTCCTTGTAAGATCGTGGAAATGACAACTTCTAAGACAGGAAAACATGGTTCAGCTAAAGTTCACTTAGTTGGGATAGATATATTTACGGGTAAAAAGTATGAGGAAATATGTTCGTCATCACACACTATGAACGTACCTATTATAACGCGTAAAGAATATCAGCTTATGGGTATCAGGGATGGATTTCTTACTCTAATGGATGATAACTTCAGTTTATTCGAGGATATACCGCTTCCTGATACTAATGTCGGCAAGGAAATTCTAACGAAGTGGAAGTTGAAGTCGAAGGGAGACTCAGATAACGTGATCGTAAGTTCCTATCTCATTGGTATATTTCTCTACAGGTCTCTGTTGTTACCGCCATGGACGAGCAGCAAGCCGATGCAGTTCGCACTTCAGATAAATAAACAAAACGCATTTGAATAAACTTTTCACACGGCTAAGTGCATTTTTGTTACGTATTAGAAAGCAAAGTATGTTGATTACTTCTATATAGTTAATTAAGAAGTAGGGATATCATAATCAATACAGCTTTAGTGTTGCGCTGATAGTCTTGGCGTCATGTTCGGCACCAGTGTGTTCGTCCCACCCCTTCCTGCACTTGGTGACTATCCAGGTGTGCTCCTCTGGGTCTGATACATTCTATATTTAACTGTTGGACTTACCTGCATTACGTAAGAATCTCCCACTATAATCTGTCACTACTTTCATCAAAGGATCGTAAAACCCATCTCCTGTGTCAAAGCCGCCTGGTGTTTGTTTGTAAGGTTCTTTGTCCACTATTTGTGATCTGCCTATTAAAAACAAAACGTAAATAGCGTTAGTTGCTTGGAGACACGTATGCTCAAACAGATTAGTTAAAGCTCTGATTTATTTGTAGTTCGCTACCCTCGGTAAAACTATAATACTCGGATGACTTTCAGTCTCAATCCTTCCGGGAACCACCACAGAGTGGGGCAAAACCAAGGAGTTCTAAAGTCGTAACGACTCAGTGACCTTGAGTGATTAATCACGCTCAAAACAATAATGTCCAGGAGGATATTCATTTGAAGTGGCATTTGGTATCATTGTATACTTCAGATTTTCGTATCGTCCAGAAATCGAAGAAATCAACAACTCACCACGCTGCTAGTGAGCGTACTGTGATATGAAATCCCGACCCTAGTTCTCGCATTTAAAATCTTAGCGTTTAGATGGAAGGAGAATAGTGTCTCTATAAGTGAATAGAGCAGATCCAGTCAGGACATCTTTCCTAGGGGGTTAAAATAGGACTTACAGGTCAAGTGATTTTCCTCACAAGTTAAATCCTTTAAGCAGTGTAGTAAAACTTCACACCCATCTTGACTGCAACATCTACTTTCTGTCTGTAGACACTTCGTAAACTGCTTCCACTCATTGTGGCCCGAGCCATCTGTTATAAGTCTCGCGTCGCTCTGTCCCAATGAGGTTGCGGAAATTCACTGACTTCTTCCACATCAGGCCGAATATTACTCTAGGCTTCTGCAGGGAGAATGTATTCGGATACCTTTCGACACATGCTTTCGTATCTCCCCGAGTTCTAAACTGACGTCCACGTCTTCCACTCAGGCACACTTAGGCTTCACGGATGTTTCTTTCAGACAGAAACTGCAAGAGACAATCACCGTTAGTCCGTGATACTTCATATATGCCTTTGATTCGCTCTGATTAAGCGTTGGTTCTTAATCCTCTATGACTGACTGTCTTGCTCTATGTAGCGAAATTGACAGCTGGTAGAAATCATTCAAGTTGCAATCGTTGAGAGCAAGAATGGCTACTATAAATAAGCATCGAGTATTTATACATTTATTTGTCCCTTCGGTTTCTAGTGGGACATACGGCTTCAGTTGCACGTCGCCATTGCACTCTCTTCTCTGCAGTCTTCTCAACCTGGCTCCACTACTGCCCACAAGCTCTCATTTCTCCCTCACACCATCTCCTCCATGTCGCCCTCGCCACTGACGCCAAACTCGTCATTTCCCATTCGGGTTGCACTCGGGGGCCTGGTCTGGCTCGTCATGTCCCCAAACTGTCTTCTCAGTGTATACCCAATCCGTCCCCACTTCTGTATATTTGTTGGATGGTGGGTTGTTGGTTGGTTTATCGACAGCCTTGTTGCTCATTATTTCTGGCCGTCTGATCTTCAGCATCGAGCCAGCGTAGGTAGCTGTTCATGAACGTCTGTAGTTTGTTGGAAATGCTTTTCGTAACGCACCAAGTTTCTGAACCGTATAGAAGCACTGACTTAACATTGGTGTTGAAAATCCGGATGTTGTTCACGCTTTATGCTGAGTGCAGTAGATCTCCACACTGTTTATTTCAGATTAATGAAGGAAGGTCTGTCTTGCTGTCTTTCCGATCCTGGCTGCTTTGACGTTCTCATCCGTTGCGCTGCGTGTAGTTGAAACGATGCTGCCTCGCCTAGATAGGTGAAAGAGACAACTTCCTTTAGGTTTCTCCGGTTCATGGTGATTGGTGCTTGTTGTTGTTGGTGGTGGTGGTTGGGTATCTTCATTACCTTTATCTTCTCTACATTCACTTGAAGTCCTGTCTTCGCTGCCTCGCCTTGTCTGTCAACTTTTTTGTTTTGCCTGTAGATCTTCGAGTTTGTGCGACATTAGACACTAGGCATAAATCAAAATCTTCTAGGGTCTTTTCATCGGTCGAGACAGCGCATGTTCTTCTTATCGCTCCTCACAGCTGTCTGTTGCACGATCCAGTCGACCACTATATGGAAGATGATTGGTGATAGTAGGTAGCAGCATTGTCTTACTCCTTCCTCTTTTCACTTCAAAGGCATCATTGAGCTTCCCATTGTGAATTACTTGGCATGTAGCATATAGCTGCTGTTGAATGAGGTTGACAAAGGTTTATGGCACCAAGACTGTAGTGTTGGAGCAGTTGCCAAATTACTTCCTGGTCGACGTTATCGAAGGAAGGCAGGCCTTTTCCAAGTGGATTAAGTTGAGGTAAAGGTCCAGTTGACTGCCATTCTATACAGTGTTCTATGATGATGTGTAGTGTTGCGTTGCAATTTGATCCACATATGATTTGTACTTCGTGAAGCCAGCTTGGTCCGGTGGTAATTTTGAATCGAGAGGATTTTCTAGTCTCTCTAGGATGATGCGGTATAATATTTCGCTTGAGGTAGAGAGGAGCATGATTCCACGCTAGTTCTTGCAAAGAATCAGGTCTCCCTTGTTTGGAAGTTTGACGAGGTAGCCCCTCTCCCAGTGGGCAGGTGCCTTTCTTTCCAAACCTTCTGCAATAGCGGCGTATGTCTACTATTGTCTCTGTGTCTGTTTTCAGTGCTCCTGGAGGAATTCCACCGGTCCTGCTGCCTCCCCGGACTTCAGCGACTTTATGGCGTTCAGGACTTCACTTCTGCTTTTGTCGGAGGGCTTGTGTTCACTGATAGTTCTGCGGTTGCTGGTAGTATTTCTGGACGAGTTGCCGGTGGTCGATTCAAAAGTCCATTGAAGTGTACAGCTCTTTGTTTCTCTTCTTTGGTATCTAGGTTTCCTTCACTAACTCTCATTGGCTCCATCTGTGTTGATCTCTTCCCTCCAAGATAGTAACCTGGTTATTTGATATAATGTTGCCAGGTCTCCCCCACCCACAGCCTGTTCTACTTCAGTTGCAAGTGTGTCGTAGAAGTGTCTTCGCGCACACTCTTCTTTACTTCTTTGTCCAATGTAGTGTTTTATAGGTTGTGTTCAGTCCCTCTTTTCGTTCATCCTTGCATTGGTTTATCTTCTGCTTCACTATCTTCCTCTCCCTTCTCTATCAGTTTCCATGTTTCCGTAGAGATCCATCCCTTGTCTTGTTTCTTCTTCCTTCCTAACGCGGTTATGCAGGTTTCCTTCCACGTCTCTTTCAAAGGGTTCCAGTGTTCTTCCACGCAGGTTTCTTCAGGGATGTTGCCTAATGTCTCTCACTTTGTCCTAGTGGCTAACGTGAAGATGTCCTTTGACGTTTCTGTTCTGGCTGTCAAACTTGAACTGTGGCCTATCACCAACTTCTGTGAAGGCTTTCAACCTGGTTTTGAGGGTTTCTTGCACTAGGTAGTGAGCGGTGTGAACCTACATCTGTTCCCCTTCTTGATCTGATCTTGTGTCTAGTAGGCTGGCTGTCTCCACTTTTTTGAGATTGAGATGAAGTCGATCTGATTTTTAGTGTAGTGTGTCGATCTGGTGAATGGTGAAATCCATGCAGCTCGCTTTGTGAATATCTTTGTGTTTGTACACAGTGTTTTTCCAATCACCAAACCATTGAATGCGCAGGAGTTCGAAAGCAGTTCGCCATTCTCATTCGTTTTACCGAGTGCCATCCCGACCGATGATGAGTTCTCCTCCTGTGTTGTCTGCTCTCAGTTTGGCATTCATGCTGCTCATTAGAATTTCGATGTCGCCAACTGTGGTGGGGTCTTGTCCATTACTGATTTCAGTTGTCGATGGAATTCCTCCTTCTTCTCTTGATCTGCATTATTTGTAGGTGCATGGCGCAGCATTGTATGATTGTTACTTTCCTTCCTTTTGAGTTGAATCCATCTTGCTGTCATGATGCTGATCCTGAAGGAGGAGATTGATTCCCAATGCATGAGGGAGAGTCTTCGATGCTGTTGGGGACATCATGATAGCGACTCCGTAACTGAGTGTGCTCGTGGTTGTCGTCTGGTTGCCAATATCGGAGTAGATTATTGACTCTCCAATTGACAGTTTGGAGAGTCCCCTTTTATTCCATCTGGTTCCGCAGATTCCTAGCACTTCTATGCCATACCTTCTCATTTCTTTTGCAATGTGTGCAGGCTTGCCGGCGAGCCAGCCAGCTTCAAACATGGTGCGGACATCCCATGTCTCTATGTTCACTTCTGCTTTGATCGAGAGAATGGAAGAGACATCATCCAATTGGCTTTTCGATGGCTTTCATCAGGTGGTGTGATTTCGTCTCCGACTTTAGCGAGGAATAAGTCAATTTCTATTTCTTATATTTTCTTTGTTCTTTGAAGTTTCTTTAGGGGTTGGATTGGTTTTACGGGATGGGGTTGCTAGCTGTATGCTCAACCTTCCCTGTTTATCCGTGCTTATGACCGGCTAGTAACTGTTGAACTAGTTCAATCGGCTAGTTTGTACTCGTTTAAACATCTTCAGATATTCGACCACCCTGACATAAAGTCAGTAATAAATAAGCCAGGTGCAGATTTTTAGGGAGAAAAGGTAATTCAATTTGTGTGTGATAGTGAATCTTTGTTGATTTAGTTAGCTGGGGAATATTTTTTCATTGCTCTTTCACCGCCTACATTTACCGGGCAATGTTAGTAGGGCTGCGGCTCACTTGTCTAGGTATTTGACTGTCAACCGATGGGTCACGAGCTTGAACCTCGCTCCACTTACCGAGGTCTGTACATCCAGGTAGTATCAATAGCGCTCATGCAGTAGATGTGGTTCATTGCCTGCTGCACGAAGGTGTGTATGGTTTCTGAGTGCACTTTTCCTGAGCTTAGTTGGGGGATAGTTACGGGCGGACTGACAGATATTTCATGAAGTCTCTGAGTTTTGATTTGGATCCTGCAGGAAAATGTTGAATGCTCTGTTGGAGTCCATAATATAACCAAAATCCGTCGTTTGAGACTTGGTGATATGGTTCAGAACGGAGCTTAGAGGCGTAAATGCATCTACACTTTACCCTTACAACCATATGGTGTCTCGTTAGTTTAAGGCCCACTCTTCCTATAACTTTCTATCACTTTTGATTGCCCTCTTTATTTCCCTATCTT